CGAACTCACGACCTTGCGCTTGCCAGGCAGGCGCTTTGCCGCTGAGCTAAATCCCCAGCCCCATCACATTTATTTGTTGAAGGTCTATTTTTTTTAATCTTTTTTTTTTTTTTTTTGAGGCAGGGTCTTGCTATGCAGTTCAGGTTGTCCTTGAGCTCACTTTGTAGCCCAGGCTAGTTTTGAACTCGCAATGAACCTCCTGCCTCAGCCTCTGGAGTGCTGGGATTACAGGCATGCACCACCATGCCCCGCCCTGTTGAAGGTCTATAGGACCTTTGTACATTCTGGATTTGACTGACTTCGGGGTAACCTTACAACTGATGAGGTAAAGTTCTTGCATATAGAGGAATCAGCTTAAAAACTGTAGAAAAATGATAGAAAGTTACTATTTAAAAAATTCCTAATGAAATGAGAGATCTAGGCAACTATCATCAATAGCTACTAAAATCATTAGGTGAAACTTTGGGAAATTCTTCATAGAGAGAGCAGGCTAATAGCACCCTAACCCAAATATCCATGGTAGTATAGCTAAAAGTAGGATAATCAGATATTTTGTGTTTCCTAATTCCAGTAAGAAGTATATACCATCGCCAATGATGTTGTGCTAAAAAAAGAAAGAAAAGAAAAACTGAACTCAAATCTAATCAAGCCTCCAGTACTAATATTGGCTCCCAGAAAACATGGGGGGATAGAGGACTATGGTAACAGCTTGCTTTTCACACTGAATATTCAATTACACTGATCCTAGAAACACTAAACTGTCAATAGCAGAAACTTCCCAAAAGTAAGGAGGCACTCATGTACTTATCATTGCTCTCATTTGCTAAACTGGCAGCTTGTTCCAATCTGAAGTGTTTGAAGATTGCTTGGCATTTGAATGTAACACACGCTGGCTTTAGTGCTGTCGCTGTTTGTGCCATTTTACATGAGGGAATATTTACATATCTGAATTCACCACCTTTCCCCAAACAAAACAGTTACAGCCATGATAACTAATCATACAGTCACATAACTAGTCATGATACAGTTGTAAGACGTTCAAACACGTGTCCACAGGAAATAGGAGAAGCTTTATTCTGAGACCTACATGAAACTCAATGAACTGGACAATAACAACCAGTATGTTGGTGGCTGTGAAAGTTGTAGAATTTGTGTGTGTGGCTTTTTGAAAATCAGTTTTAAAAAGTTAAAGCTATGCAAAATAAAATTTAGTTAAATGAACATTTGGATTCCCTGACCCACTTTTAGATTTTGTGGACTATAGTTCGAAAACCACTGGGGTGGTGAGAAGAGTAGGCTCTGATATTATAGATGGTGATGTTCTCAGGTTAGTTTTGTGATTTATTCACAAAATACCTTTGTCCAAATTGCTTCACCTCTCTGAGTTTCACTTTTCCCATGAGTAAGGACAGGTAAGTTAGCATTTACTTTCCAGCATTACTGTGAGATGTAAAGGACTTGAATTTTATGAGTTTCCATAGTAGACATCAGTGTACAGTGGCAGATGAGGAAAAGACTTCCTTCGATTGAAGTATGAGCCAGCATCAGGTCAGGACCCCTTGAAAAATACTTCTCCTTAATTTGTGTACCCAACATGCCTCTCAGACCTCAAATTTGGTTGTGCTTGAGTAGGTATTTTCTTTAGTTAATCTAATCTTTGACCCTGAGCTCCCAGCCCACCTTTTGCTGGGAACCTGATCCTGGATGTAGGCATTGCACACCCGCTCTTGGCTGCCCCATTTCTCCTGGGATAACCACAAATCGTCAAATAGTTTGTGTTTGAGAAGAATGCCACTCTGGATCCTGTATGGCTTCTTCAGGTGTGCTTCTCAGATTCCGGGGCACTGGGCCTCTTCTCCCTCTCCAATACTGCTACATTTTAGAGGCACTGACTGATCACTTTGCACATGAGAACCATCGACTTCTTTTGCTGCTTGGAAGAGCCAATTTCTACTCTGGGAAAAGCTCTCTCACCTGAAACTCTCTTCTCTCAATGCATTTAGCCTTCCTTTTCCCACCAAATTCTATTTCTCCAAGTGTCCTTAGCTTCCCTAATCCCACAAACCCACAGTTTCTTAAAAATGGCCTCCTTCTGGACAGAGACTGCACTGTCCCCATACTCCTGGGTGGACATGTGGTACCTCTGGGTGAAGAGAAAGTACCTCTTCTAATGGGCAGATATGTCCTCATCTCAAGGGTGAGCAGTTGGGTCATTCAGTGGCTCTCAGCAGAACTCCCCTGTCACAAGGTGGTACAGGATTTGCTAAGGCTTAAATGGGAGAAAAGAAACATAAAAATACAAGCAATGAGTGTTCTGGAAACACTATCTTGCTACATGTGTTTGGATGTATTTTCTGTCAGGAGATAGCATGGATGAAAATTTCAGGGATCGTAAAAGATTTGAATATATGTTATGTGTGCCAAGGTCACCTCGTATAAAGCAGCAACTTATAGTCATCCTCACTTAGGAGCCTGCCATTTTCTGGTTCCCAGCAAAATTCATGATGGCAAGAGAAATCTGTTAGAAATGAAGTTTTTCTAATTTCTTCGTTTTTTGTTTTCCTACAACATAACTTGTCAGGTGTTTTTGTATTACCACTTTGTCTCCTAACAAGGTTGATTATAATTAGAGTATCAGTTATAATTGGAGAAATAGAATTTGCATTTTTATTTCAATTATGAGATTTCCTAAATTAGTTTTATTTTCTACTTAGCAATATTCAGGTCAATTGTAAATGTAAGGATTCAAAAAACCCTCAAGTAGCAGTGTCCCAATGTTGGCTTTTTGCGAAAGTCTTTTGCCTCAAGAGTTTGTCTATTTGCAGTGAGATTTAGTTAACTTTATTTAATCTGTTGATGTATTTAAAATGTTTGCTAGAAATTGTAACAATCTGGAGGTTTATGAAAGGTCTGATAACCTCACTAGAATTATCTAAACTTTTACAAGTGAGTTTAACTTCATTTCATGAGAGAAAATTTTGGCTTTCTTGATATTATCTGCAGTTTCCTTTCCTGTGAGACTAAAATCTCACAAGAGTCTCCAAGTGGTCCAAATTTAATTGAAAGCCAAAGCATCTTAATCAAAATATTTGGTTTCATGATACTGGCTTACTAAGTTTTTGGAAGAAACAGTGGTAGATTGGGAATTGCAGTAGGAAGAAGCCAGGCTGGCTTGTGACTTCTTTGTTTCAGGCCAATTAGAGAAGGTCCAACAAAACAATTTAAGGATTTTAGCAATACACACAGGAAAAATGGATGTTTTGAAAGCATCTTATTTCTCCAAAAATAATAGCAATGTTTTTCCTTGAAATTTTCATTACATTACTAGCTGTTAACTTTCCCTTTGTAGAATTTGTTTTGTGTAAAAGATATTTTCATGAAACGTTATATTTTTTGACATGTTAATGGACATATAGTAGTATCTTGTGCATGCAGTTTATATTTTCCTAATAACTAAGGATATTGAACATACTTTCATTTGCTTATTTTCAAACTGCATTATCTCCCTTGATGTACTGTCTATATGTATCTTTTGCTCACTTTTAAATTAAATTTTCCTATTGTTGAGTTTTGAGGACTCTTTATAAGTCTGGATACAAGTTCTTTGATGTACGTATTATTTTCAAATACTCTCCCTATTCTGTGGCTTGATTTTTTGTTCTTAACAATGTCTTTCACTGAGCAAAAGTTTTTAATGTTAGTAAAGTCCAACTTGTTCACTTTTTCTTTTATTTATCACGATTTCAGTATCATGTTTACAAATTTTTTGTCTAGGAGCAGAACACAAAGATTTCCACTGTATTTTCTTCTATAAGCTTTATATTTTTAGGTTTTACATTTATGTCTATGATTCATTTTCAATTATTTTTTGTATGACGTATAAGGAATGGGCCAAGGATTACTTGTTGTGTATATGGATGTCCAGTTTTTCTAGCATGTACATTGAAAAGGCTATCTTGTTTCCTTTGGGTTTCTGCTCCTGAAAGTTTTATTCCAAGAATCTATACTATACTTCTCCTTCATAATAATTCTCATATAATTGTCTGATTCATTGTGTTTTTAGCAACTTAGCAGAGAGGATTTTCAAATTCGGGAAGATTTCTTAAAACAAAAGTATTATTTGGTTTCTTTCCAACAGGAAATACATACATTATTCTAGAGGTAGAGAGGTAGATAGTGTAATTAATCAATTTTATCCAGATCTCCATTTGCAGAATACTGCAGTGATGAGGATATTGTCTCTGGTACCAGAAGACGATTTTACTCTGAGCTCTGCCCAACCGTATTATTTTGAGAAAGTCAGTCAGCCTCTGACTTTTAAGAAATAAAAGTGTCTTTCCTCCATCAAATAAGGGGAAAAAAGTGTATAATCTCCAAGATCTGTTGCAACTCATTAGCCTTGATGCTATTTAGGGCTGACAGAAACTCAAAAAAATTTACAAGCTGTGAATCAGCAAAGCAGGATCGGGTCACTAATACTTAAGATCTGTCATAACCGAAGGGCTTCTTTGCGTGTAGTCCTGAATCATGTGAACTCTTTTTGTAATGGTAAGTGCAAAATATGGTTGGGACACAGGTGATCTCATGACGTTTGTTAACACAATGTCTGTTTTTGTTTTAACAGCTAGACCAAGCAACGCTTTCCTTAGCTGTGAGGGAAGACTACCTTGACAACAGCACCGAAGCCAAGTCTGTAAGTTTTACTCATATTCCACCGTGTGCCTGTCAGACTCCTGCCACATTCATCAGTGGTTCTACGGTTCCTACTTCTTTACTGGAGATGAGCAGCATGCCTGTCCACGGGCCATATTCCTAATGTAGGAAGCAAAGGCCTTCTATTTAGGTGACCCATTCTACTCTCTGTCTACTAGAAGTCTGGGCATCAAGGTTTCAATCAGTTCCCCTACTCGGGGCCCTCTTGATGTAACCGGGCGGGCAGCATACCCCAATGAATTAACTGAAATGTGACCGTGCACCCTTTCCTGAGCAGCGCAGAAGTGAAGTGTGAGGAGGGACACCAGGAGACGAGGGGCTCTGAATCTGCTGAAGAGTCCCATGGGAACCTTCCATTTTGTGTCAAGCCCTGGAGAATCTGACTTAATGGACTTGAGGTGGGATCTGGGAGTCTGTATTTCTGACAGATCCCCCAGGTTAATGGAGGTTAAAGAGAACAGGAAAGGATCAGTTAGCATAGACTGCTTGGCTTGGTTTGGAAACCTAGTCATTTCCTGAGAGTGGAAAGAACTGGTTCATTTTTGACACTTTTCAGTAACTTTGGAAACTATGGAACTTCCCAAACAGTCTCAAATCTAGGTAGGCTGGGTCTATGCTGATACTCACCTCTGTTTGCAGAAAGCTCAAGAGGGCAGGAAACTAGGCGAGACCCAAGGCAGCTTCCTGCATGAGGGTGCTCAACCAAGGGAGTTGGCAAGTTTTCCTCTTTAAAAGTAGAATGAAGCTTTTCTAGCCTTGGGGTGCCTCTGTTTCTATTGTGGTCTCAGCAACCAGGCTCAAAATCATCTCTGCCCCTTGTATGAAGTTAGTCAAGTCTAATGAATTCTACCTTGGAAACATCTCTTCCAATCATCCACGGTCAGAGTCTTTTCTACTCTTGCCTTGACGCAGCAAGTAGCCTTTTATCTGGTACCTCCTCTCCTTAGGGCCACTTGGCAAGTTCTGTTCTCAAAGTGCCCCGCACAACGTGCTATGCTCTGCAGATAGGGTCTAAATTCCTTGAAGCCAGCTCAAAGCTTCTTAATGGCTTGATGCCGAGCCGTCTTTCCAGGTTCATCTCCTGTTCTTCTTCCCTCAGCAAAGACAGTTCTTTTTCCCCTACCGCTCCCAAACTGCATCCTTCAAATGCTGTGTCCTCCATTTTTGTTTTAGGGTGGACTTGCCTGCCTCTCAGGTTTTGGAGCACATAATAACATTATTAAGGAGCTTATTTTGATCTCTCTAATGTTACAGTTCATAACGAAACGTCTTCCTCACTGGATCCCACACTGTTTGAGAACCAGATTTGAGCATTTTTTTTTTCCATCTGCACCACTTCCCCCGACATATGCACAGAGCTCCTAGGAAGCCACCTTGCATGCATATTGAATAGGTTGTGTGTTTTCCTGAATTGAAATGGGAATCGCAAAACACTCTTTCTAATTAAGACTGTTTGTGAGACTCGATGACCGAGTCAATCACTTTTTATTAAGGGCTTGACATATGCCAAGGACTGTATATGTTCTGAAGTCAGAAACATAATAAGAATAACTTATAGAGCCAAGGCGTACACTAGGGAGGAAATTCTGTATTTGTTATTTTCTAGGTTTCTTGTCATCATCTCTTTCCTCTCTCCCTTCTTTTCCCCCCTGAGCTATGGAGGAGAACTTTATGAAAACTGTACACAACTAAAAAGACACAGTCCTGGAATCGCTGCAGTCATCTTTTATTTCTTAGCGTGATGATGGGTAAATTGAGCTGGATGAGAACAGATCATAGTTTCTGCCAGTGTTCATGATCAGTCATCCTACTTTTAGAAACAGACCTTTCCCATTATTTTATCAAAGGCTCACTCGCCTGGAAAGAGGACACCTGACCTTTAACATTTTTCCAGGCTCAATTGGAGATATTTCGTGTTTCCATAATAGCCCCCATTACTGGAAGACTAGTTCGCTTGATATTTGATGCTAGACCTCTCTGTGTGTCATGGAAACAGTGCCCACACCCTCATCACTCTTTCTTTGCTCCCAAAGTGGTAGGAGACTGGCTGGTATTTCATACTCGCTGTACCGTGTGCTGAGTACAGGGTGAAGATGAAGGACATTTATTTTCACCTGCTGTTTCTGCTCCTCGTGTCTCCTTAGCATGCTTCCTCCCCGGCTGTTGTCATGGTCACTAGCTTCTTTTTCTCTTACAGTATCGAGAAGCCCTTTATAAGTTTATGGTGGACACTGCCGTGCTTTTAGGAGCTAACAGCTCCCGAGCAGAGCATGACATGAAGTCACTGCTTAGACTGGAAATCAAGATAGCTGAGGTAAGTCTCAACTGGAAATCATTTTTTCCCTGTCCCTTTCCCTTTCTTTATTTTAAAGGCAGTATATCCTGAATGAAATCATCAATTGCAACCAAATAGCAGCCTTCTGTGTCACTGCCCTTTGGGTCAGGTAGGACTAAATAGCACCCTCCCAGAAAATGACAGCAACAAGAAGAACCACGGCAGGAAAAAGAGCTTTGCATGCTGCCTACCGCATTCCATGTCTATGTGCTGCTTTACTGCGGGCCAAGAATAGCCACAGAGAGATCTGTTTTCCTGTAGAAATTGCTTCATGGTTCAAATAGGGGATAGATGTTTAATACATCTTTATTGATTTAATTGAATGGAAGGTTCTTATTTTGTGTGTGGTGCCAGGGAGTATCCTAGGCCTTCAGCCATGCTAAGCATGTGCTCTAACACTGAGCTACACTCCCATCCCTGGCAGGTTACTTTTACTTCAGGCTGCTTGTTATACTTTCCTACTCAGATTAAGTCTGATGTAAGATTTGGGCTTAAGGAAGTCTATGTACCAATACAGAACATAAAATTTGATGTAGAAAGTATATATGGAATGCTTGAAAGTATTTTAAAGCTGACTCTCAGGTGCTGCTTTGTGTCTACCCTTCTTTTTTTCCCCTCCCTTGCCACAATTTAGTGAATGCCATTGTGTCACACATTGTGTTCTCATAAGCCATCTTTAATTCGTTCAGGCTCATGGTAGGGACAGAAAGATAATAAAACAAACTTGAGCTAGAATAATGAAAAATTTTAAATGATTAGCCTTGTTTGTACAATAACTTTTCCTAGAAGAACCAAAGTATAGCAGTCCTTTATGTACCCAGGTCCAGAGAGAACAAAATAGAGTGACATTTTCTTCTGGGGAAACTTCACAGTGAATAACAACAAAAAACACTTGTACCAACAGACTTTTTCATATGGGTTGGTGATCTTTTATAATGGGAGTCGGTAAAACTCCTGAAGTGAATAGCAGTCCAAGTTCTGTGAGGTGTTGGGAGAGGTGTGTTGAGGTTTGGAGTAAGGTTGAAGGATAAGGGTCGGGGGGGGGGATTAATGTCTCCTGTGGTGATGATATGCACATACATCTCTCTCCACACTCCTCCTTGTGACACAAAGAGTTTATTCCTGCATGTCACCTCTGACGACCATAAAGACTGCTGCACGTGTTTTGAAGTCCACGTTGTGCCTCTAAGCCATGTCCGCAGGCTGTCTGGATTTCCTTCCCAGGCAAATAAGAGGCCCAGGAATCTAATTTGGACTAAAGGTCTGATAGCGCAGAGAAGGGCTTACGCTGAGCCAGTAAGCTGGACCGAAAAGGGAACTCAAAGCGGCTGGGCTAAGGAAAGACGGAATTGTCAAGAGGCGAAATGAAGTGACAAGTCCATCGTGTGCAGGGGAGTAGCTGGCAGACAGGTGAAAACAGCTCTGAGGCCGAAGGGCTCCAACTTGGGGCTGTGAGCCTGAGTGGGAAGAGGAGGAGGCATGAGGAAACTCTCTGAGACAGTGATTCACATACAGCCAGGAAACTCGAAGGTACATAAGAGCACGGAGAAGCTAGGGGCATGGAAGCATCTAGTAAAGAGGAGGCAAGTACCTGCCACTCAGCCCTCTGGGATTTTGCCTTAACAATTATGGTACGTCGATTTTTGGCCTGACAGGAATACTCCCCTCCTTTCCTTGCACTCTGGGTCACTGAGTATATTCAAAATTAATGGGTTATGCAGTCTTAGAGAACCTTCTGTGGCTGAGGAGGCAGGATAGCCCAACCAAGCCCAAATAAATCCTGGTAAAGACAGCCACGGAAGTGTGCATTTCAGCAAGCCCAGCCACTAAGACTGTCCATAAGGAGAGGTCTTGATGATGTAGGCTCTGTGTTTAACTGGAAAGGTTTGTTGGAGAACACAAATCTCAGGCCAAATTGTGAATCATAGCTCAAACCATGGAGGTGGTGACAGAGGATAGAAGGTGCAAAGGTATAAGGTCATGTGTGAGGTGGAAAGCAGCAAGTGTAACGGTAGAAAATCAAATGTAGAAGGCCAAAACACAAGATCGTGCTGTTATTTGGGGTGAAGTGGAAGCTACTCGCTATCAGTGGAAGTGATTGGTATGACCCTGGAGGAAGATAATCACTGTTGCTCTTCGTAGAGTAGGCTAAACACAGCCGAAGCTAGAAGCTTCGATTTGGTGATGGCCAAATGGTGCAGAAGATGAATATTTGGAATGGAAAGAGTGTGAAGAGTCAGGGCTGGAGATGCGGGTTTTGAAGTATGTGTCTAGGTGATAACGAATCCATACTCGCAGCAGTAGGGCTAAGAGAATCTCAAGGCCAAAGGAACCAGAAGGAAACATGGGGGAGTGAGCTATTGACAGAAGGATTACGGGCAGCAGTGGTATCCAGATAGCCTCACATTCCTCAGTGAAGATTGGCCTTTACAGATGAGGAGATGGTTTGTGGTTCAGAGAATGTTGAAACCATCATCTGGAGACTGAAGTGAAAGCAGAACCTTTGCCTCAGTGATCCAACTTCACTTTGGCCGGCAGTACTGAGGCAGGAACGGACTTTGCTCATTCACCTTATAAAGAAAGAGGACATTCTGGGAAGTTCTTGTACTGGGAACAATATTTTACACTGCAGAGAACATGTAAATTTAAAAAATATTTTTCTTAATCCTACCTGAAGTGTTGTCTTTTTTGTCTCTCTCCTCAGCTTGGCACCACGCCGAAGCCTTGAAAAACTTTTTAATACTGTGCAGATGTTTGGCATATGTAGAAAGTAGTCATGCAGTAAGAAATGGCTCATTTGAAAAAATAACTAAAGTCTTTTCCCAACAGATAATGATTCCGCATGAAAACCGAACCAGTGAGGCTATGTACAACAAAATGAACATTTCTGAACTGAGTGCTATGATTCCCCAGGTTGGTGAAAACTGTCCAGGAAGTTTTCTCTTAACTGGTCATTTTACAAGTGATTGTATTTCATCCGCGTACACACTTTTGTCTTGTAAAAACCTACTGTCAGTTTTTTTGGTTATCATCATCTTTGTCAGCTATCACATAAAAATGTCTCTTGTGTGGATATCAGGATACCTTCTGTTATAGGGAACAGAAACTCACTCTGATAGTGGCTTAAAACTGTAAAGCTCATTTTCTTATATGATAAACATCTACACATACATGGTAGTTGGTATTGGTTCAGCTGTTCAACAATATTGTCAAAGACCCAAGTTCTTTTTATCTTTGTATTCTACTGTGGTTAGTGTATTTGATATTTTTGTTTTGTTTTGAGACAAGTTCTCCCTCTGTAATTTGGCTGGCCTTGGACTCATTGTGTAGCTCAGGCTGGTCTCAAACTCAGAACAATCCTCCTGCTTCAGCCTCCCGAGTGCTGCAATGATAGGTGTGCGCCACCACTCCTGGCAGTGTATTTGATTTTTGACTTCATGTCTGATGACTCATGGTTTGAAAGCGGCTACCATAGGTCTATGTATTATAGCATCTGCCACTGGGGCAAGAAGAAGGAGGAAGGACCAGTGTTGGGCCACATCTGACTCTTTTCCGAAGGAAAACAAAACAGTCTTTCCAGAATATCCCCAGATATCCTCCTTATTCTGGGTCATGTGGTCACCCCTAACTCTGTAGTGGGGAGTGGGATGGATTCTGGACAAGTGAACAAGTGTTTTTGCATTTCAGTAGTGGAGAAAGACAAGGAAGAAAGATTGGTAAATGCCTTTTAGGGGAGCCAATCTAACACAGCAAGCAGTGTTTTAGGGAAAAATGGAGGAGCACGTCACATTCTGTTGCTCTTTGGTTCTTCCTGTGATTAAAAAAGGCTGTTTCAGGGAGAAGACAGTAAGGTACTGAGGGATCTGTACCCATGTGTATGTGAACAAGGGGACTGCAGCGCCAAGAGAGGGAGAGTGCAGATTGAGGGAGGGAAGTGCAGGGGACGAGGGGAGTGTGGGAGGAAAGGAGTGCTGACCAGGGCACTAGGCTGGGGGCCTGAGAGCAGAATGAAGGAGAGGCAGCTGGGGAAAGGAGAAAGCCCGAGGAGCCCAGGGAACACGGGCACGGGTTACTGGTGAGAGAGTGTGCTGTCCCTGGGCTCACGTTACAGGTACACAAACTCCAGTTGTCCGTAGGTTCAAATGGCAATAATCAAGACTTTATCTTCTAGATAAGTAAAAGATGAGCAGCTGTATCTTTAATTCTCAGCCTGCTCTATTTGCCCTTCTTCTTACTTGCTGCCTCACAAAGTTTCTCTCTATTTTTTCTCTCTCCTCAGTTTGACTGGCTGGGCTACATCAAGAAGGTCATCGATACCAGACTGTACCCCCACCTGAAAGACATTGGCCCCTCTGAAAACGTGGTGGTCCGTGTCCCGCAGTACTTTAAAGATTTGTTTAGGATATTGGGCTCTGAGAGGAAGAAGTAAGACCTTTCATGTGCATTTTACTGTGGCTTTTGTTTTCTCTGTACATCAGGAAGGCCTTCTTTCTGTCGTCCTTTGAGAGCAGCTTTAAAAGAAAGTTATAGCAAAAGTGTCACAGGGACGATTATGGTGCCCTTGTGATAAATTGACCCGAACCACTGTCCAGTTTAATTTATTTGCTATGATGACAAAAAACACAAAACATTTTTGCCCCTTATTTCTGTTCTGTCTTCATACTGTTCTAAGAGCGTAAATTGTTTATTAGTTTTGGGACTGAATTATGGAATGATCTTATTTCCTGAAATTTCTGTATGAGCATATTAATTTTTTTCCAGTTCATTCTTGGTCTTTTGCTGCCTTTCTTCTCCTCATTTCTTTTTTAGTCACTTCCTGGCAGTATACCAAAGCACCAATATTGAAGGAACATCAGGCCATTTTTGAAACCTGTAGAAAAATTGTACTGATGAAACAAATTTAGGAACGGTCAGGTGTTTCTTACTGTAAAGAACCTTTTAGAAGTTTTTGATTTGCTAGCTCGGTACTACAAAGAAAACTCCTAAAATGCCCACAAGAGAAATTTACATGTTCATGAAGCCATTCAGCTTCGACTACAGAAAATGAATCACAAAAAGGTCAACACATTTACAAAAACCACTCACTCAACCTAATTGCTGGGCCATGATTAAACATCCTTTTTCCTCTGGACTCAGACAAGGCTCCATTGCCAGGAGTTATGTTAAAAAAAGGCACCTGCAACAGTCCTGGGAATAAAATGCAGCGTGGGTCCCCACCCTTGGAAGCATTTAGGCCTGCCGTAGAGTTGCTGCTCTTTTTTTTTTTTTTTTTTTTTTTAATTTT